AATAGGACAGGAAAGATCCAAAAATGCTGAAGGAACCATTTCAGAGCCCAACTAGTGAAGGTTCCTTTTGACCTTTCCACGTGTGCCTTGGCCAGTGCATTTATTACCTGCCAAGAGAATTCTGGATCCACACCTCAGAGACCCCAGTGAAGGCCTTGGCTCCAGAGGAGCACAGATGCTATGGCACAAGGAGCTGGTGTGCCTCCTCCCTACCCCCTTCCCGAGGACCGTATGAGGAGAATGACCCATCTTCATGACTACGGTGGAGGAAGTGTGCAAGGTACTGGTGACACTGCTGGTCATCACTGCTGCAGTCTTACACTACTGAGTGACAATGCCCAGATCCTACAGAGCCCCACCACCCTGACGGGAGTCAGAGACACAGTGCCCAGCCCCCTGCAGCAAGGGCAACGTACAGATGAGGTGGAGGCAGAGAGTGCATCTCCTCTTCCTGCCACAGGAAACCAATCTGCACTCCCCACATGAGGGAGGGAACAGAAAGTCCTCCCTGGAGGCTGGCTGGGCAGCCTTATGTCTCTTTCCCACGAGGAGCTGGCATAGTGATGTTCTTGTTCTAAAAGGATGGCCCTCGGGCAGCTGCTAACCCAGGAAACACATTCACCGAACAGTGGAAGGGTCACACGGGAGTCTGTGACACACCAGCAAGGCCTGGGCTGGGCCACCTATCCAGAGCCCAGGCCCTCGAAAGCTTGCTAGGATCAGGAACTCTCTCCAGGCTCTGGGTGCTCAGCATCCTGCCTCCTGGGTGACTGCCCCCTGGGGTCCTGCTGAGCCCGATGCAGCCACATCTCACATCCAGGGCCCTTCTGGGTCCTGATCACACATGACGATGAGTTGGTGAATTAAGGAAGGGCTTCTTTCCTTCTTTCTCCTCATTTATACAAATAACTTATCTTTTTTTCCTTTTCTTCAAGAGCCACATGCTTTAAACATAGACCTCAATTCTTTCCCCTAAACTATATCTGAATATTTCTCCTCTGCTGTCCTCCTGAGCTGTGCAAACAGTGCTGGGACTGTGACCTTGAGTCAATGCCGTGCGACTTGGGAACTGTCCTCTGAAAGCCTCCCCCATGGCCACTCCGTCTCCCCCCCCAGCACACACCCGTGTTTCTGCAGCCTTGTAGAAAAAGAGATCGGCAGAGAATGGAAGAATTTCCCTGTCGAGTTAAACAAGACCATATGAGGTTCCACAGAGACCTGGCAGGGAGGCCAGGGTGTGGGCAGGGAAACAATGATAAGCTCCAAGGTGGAGGCTCGGGCAGGGAGGGGACTTGTGGCCCATGGCTGGGGAAAGGAAAGTTGCGTTAGGCACAGGCCTCCTGCTGGAAGGTGCTGACAATGGAACTGACCCCACCCACGCCTGGAAACAGTGGCTTTTTAGGAACTATGGGAGTTGAGCGGAAAGGACAGAAGGGACACCGCCTCCCAGCTGCAGGCCCATAAGGAGCCTGGGAAGAGAAGGAAGGGGGACAGGAAAGGATCATCAGGCTTGGTGAAATCTTGAGAAAAAGTCGTCATCAAACTCAGCGCCTTTACTGTGGGCATACTGGACCTCGAAAGCCATTCGTGTGACTTATAGCCCAGTATGCAGGGGCAAGAGGATGGCCCGGACACCGGACAGCCTGCGTGAACCAGGCTCCGGGCAGCTCACCCTGTTCCCACTGTCCTTCCTCGCTGCTCTCTGCCACGAGCTTAGAGGCTCAGCCAGAGTACAGCCAGGCAGCCACACACACACACACACATGCGCGCACACACTCATGCCTGTTAGTGGAGCCTGTTGCCACCCAACAGACCCTGTTGTCAATGCAGTGCTGGTCACCTGGTGGAGGAGCAGTGTGGACTGTCTTCCAGGCAACCCCGCACCTAACCCAGGACATAAATAACCCTGCTCCTGTTTGGGGTTTGCTCTCACCATTCCCTGTGCCATTTAGGGTCTTCCCAGCTCCCTTCTGGTCACCTTGAGAGACCCTAGCCCAGAGGCTACCCTGTGGCACCATTATCCCTGCCTCCTTCCACCTCCTTCCAACCAGCATTCTTCCTTCCCTCCCCAACCCACCTTCCCCTCATCTTCCCCTCGTGGGCAATGTGAGATGGGTCACAGCTAATGACAGTCACCTGTCCTCTCACTAGGTGGACCCCAGCAACACCCTCCTCCACTCAGAATGACAAGGCAGGCAGCAGATAAGCACAGGACCAGCCTAGAGCAAACCACCAGCCTGGAAATGGGGCCTCCTGGCAGGAAAGTCTCAGGGGCAGCAGGTCTCTCTGGGAAGTCTGTCAGGATTCTCAAGAGAAAGGGACTCCTGCTCAGAGGATCAGCTGCCAAATACCAGTCCACTCACATCTGCTACCTGGAAACAGTTGTCACTGGTACACAGAAAAAAGTGCAAACAGAGTGTCCCCAAACTAGAGCATTTAAAAGACTGTCTTCTATGCTACAAGCATAACTGCCTTCAGTGTACGTGAAGTACCATGTCCTTCAGGAAATGGGGGTCGTGTGTGAATAATGCATAGCATGTGGTGAGGTGGACATAAATCCACACACAGCACAGAGCCTGGGTACGGTTCTGGAGCAAGACTGTCGTCATTCAAACCCTGCACCCAGTATTCCTAATGTGGCCTGCGTTTCTGTTTGTAAGATGGGAATGACCAGGGGATTGTTGTGACCTTTAAATAATCCTAGATACTAGGGAGGCTGAAGCAAGATCCTAAATTTAAGGCCAGCCTAGGCAATTTAAGACCCTGTAATTAAACAGAACACCTCAGGAGATGTCATTCTTCGCTGAACACTGGATTCTCCTATCATTTCACAGCTCCAAGAAATTCACATTTGAGAACCATGGGCTGGAAGATTCAGTTTCCCTTAAATATGGTTGCAAGTGGACACTATGTGCATGTACACAAACACACACACACACACAGACTCCACTCCAGGAAAAATGAAAAGTATTTCTTCACTTGCAACAGCTTTCAGCTCTGTAGGCTCCTTAGATATCTTTAGGGGAAGGAGGGGGTGTCCTGGGGCAGCGGCCAGGCCAAGCTCCCACACACACACCACTCCGCCCCCACAATGTTCGTGTGTATGTGTGTGTGTGTGCGCGTGCGTGCGCACACGCGTGCCTTCGTGTCCTTGGTGCCCATCGTGGATGTCTCTCGGGATACAGCTTCGCCCCTGTTGCCACTTACAGAGCTGACACCCACCTAGGCCACAGGCCACCTCTCGTTTCCCCTCCACTTCAAGAGCGACCTTTGAGCCCGCCTGGGAACATGCGTTCCTCCAGGTGTTGATGCCGAGATCAGAGGTCCCGGCTGCAAACAGGTGGGACCTAGGAAAGGCATCGCGCTGGAGGCTTCTTGCATGCTTACCCTGGGGAAGGCAGTTGTACTGCAAAGCAGGGTGACTGCAAGCAGCCGGGCAAACCCAGTCTCCCATCGCCCCACCCCTCCCCCTCCCCCTGGCAAAGCAGCGGCCTTCTGCAGTAACAGCTCGACATCGCCACCACGTGGCCAGATGCCTGAATGACAGCCTCCTGGCCCCTTGGGCTCAGTGGCCCAGGGCGCCCAGGATTGGAAACCTTGTGTCTTCTGTAAGGCCCACCCTCCTTAATCTCAACTTCACTGTGGTTCCTGCCGCATCTAGGTCTGGGTATGACTCCCTGTGGATGCAACACCCAGGGCTCAACATTCTTTTAACGTGAAATGGTTTTGGTTAGTGGCTAAAACAATTAAGATACATGGCAGTTTGAGGGGAACAGATCTCAACCAGGAATAAGACTCCAGGGTGTGCCCTGAGCTGGGGGGACCAGAACTGCACTGCACTGCACAGCCCCCATGAACCCAAGGCTGGTCCCCACCCCACCCAACAGACCCAGCTATACCTGCCAGGCTGAGGCTGAGGACTCTAAGTTCTCCTCCCGTGCAAAGGGCAGCAGCCAGGAAGCAGGACAAAGTACATTTCCCCTCCTGTGGGATGCCATACCATGCCTCCTGATTACCACCTCTTCCAGCCTTCTGGGCCTCTGTCTTCCTTCCTGTCCACATGTCACAACTCCCTTTGGGCTGCAGAGAATGGCCAGGTACATGAAGCTGCAGGGCCAGCTACACAATTTGGGACCAGTGCAAAATGAAAATTCTGGACTACAAAGGCAACAATGGAGCTGTTCACCAGGCACAAAGACCTGCTGGGTATGGGACGCTACACTGCACAACACTCCAGACCCCACCTTCCCTGGCAAAGGAAAAGCAGGTCAGTGTCAGTTCAGCCTGGTGCCCCCCCCTTGCTGACTGGCTCTGTTGGTGCCAGTGACTTCAGTCTTCATGAGAGCTACTAGCAATGAGCCTGAGTGATGCACCTGAGCTCCCACTGGTTATGGACACTCAGCCTATCTTGCTCTTTGGCCAGGAGCAATGCTGCACTTGGCTGCAGGCTTTTGGAAGGCATTTCATTGATTTCCCAGGGATCCAATGAGTCTATAAATCTCAGCAGACTTCCAGGACCCTGCCAGGATGGCGGCATCAAGAGCACCACTACAGACTTTGGTCTGGACACCTGGTGGAGAACCTGGTGATGCTGTGAGTCTTAGAGTGGCAGGACCACCGTTACACTGCTTCTCAAACTCCAGCATGCATGGGAGCCCTCTGGGGCCTCTCAGAGCAGAGCTGCCCACTCCAGAGGGCTGAGTGCAGCACAGGAAATCACACCTGTGTGTTCCCTGGGGACCCCCATGTTTCCACCCCAGGACTGCACGGTGACAGCCACAGTCAAAGATGACAACCTAGTCCCTCCAGACCACCTGATGAGGGTCTTGGACAGAGTAGGGTTGCCCCTGAAGGATACCCATCTGAGGGGAATTTAAGACTAGTTTCTTGCAAATGGAGGTAGAAGGAAGGAGAGCCTGTCAACTTCAGGAGAAAAAAAAGTAGTGAAAAAGAAATACAATGTTTATCTCACACACACAAATGCACAGCTGAAGCCACTCTAGGAGCTGGTGAAACAAATCCATTTTTAGACTCCTCTGTTTTCCAGAGTCCTGCAGGCGTGGGTTTCCTGAAGAGGGAAACCCTAGGACCCCAAAACCCTGAGCCTGCACCCCCACCACTTGCATGGAGAGGGTCCCTGAAGCTGCCAGACGGCTTTCCTGGAGCCAAATGCCCACTGCAGAAGAGAGCCTGCACCTGGTCGGCCAGAGCTGGGAAGCCATGTCCTTGAACCTTCACCAACAGCACTGGCAGTCAGCTCCTCCTCCCCACCTCTGGGCCACACCTGGAGGCCGAGGGAAGCCAGGGCTCTCCAGGTGGATTCAGAGTCTGCAGACAGGGAGTAGTCTGGGTTCTGGGGGAGGCGGAGCCCGAAGCAGGAACGTAGTCAGGGGTCCTGTCCTCAGTCTACTGCTGGCCTGCTGGGTCCCACAGGCATGCACGTTGGGAGTCACTGTGGGGGACCTGCCTCTACACCCCAGTTTGCTCTTTGATCCAGGTCCGAAATACAGGGAGCCTCGTGTATACGCCTGGCTTGTTCTTCTGAGCACAGCCTTCACCCCAGCTCACCACACCTGCCTGGAAGTTTCGTCCATCGGCCTCCACGCTGGACAAGGGGCCCCCAGAGTCGCCCTGAGAGGAGAGAGTCCCATGCATGAGACCCCACTCTGCCTTTCCCGGCCCCACCCTCCTGGGCCCACCTGCCTCAGCCCACACACCTGGCAGGCGTCCACGCCCCCACTGAGGAAACCCACACACATCATGCGTGGGGTGATCTGCTGGGGCAGCAGGTCCTCACAGGTTGTCTGGTTGATGACACGGATCTCACCCTTCTGCAGGATGGGTGCCCCAGTGCCTGGGGAGAGGGCAGGACAGGGCGGACTCAGGCACGCAGCTCCTCAGGGAGCTGTGCTGCACCAGCAAAAGCTCCTTGAAGATGCTCCCCGTGGGCATCAGTTTACCAGCAAATCCTGGAAACAACTCAACACCCAAGACTGACAAGCCTTATTAGGTGGCACACCTGCATGATGGCTGTTGGGCAGCCCCAGAGTGCAGCAGCTCTGAGCAGCTGGGGGCTGGCTGTCAGCCTTGCACCAAGGTGAGCAGGGGTCCAGCTCAGGGGTAGAGCACTTGCCTAGCATGCACAAGGCCTGAGCACCCCAAAAACAAAAAAGCACTAAGTATGGGACATGGGAACAACAGTAGGAAGACTGAAAGTGCATCAGTGCCACCGCAGTTAGGTCAGGGCAGCCAGGTCTGTTTTCTCAGCAGTGTGCCACGTGGGCGTCATAACAGTGTTCCCCATGTCTCCCACAGGGAGGGCAGGAGGGACCCCCAAGGGTCACGCAATTCCCTGGCTGGATGTGAAGCTCACCTCCCTCCTCTGTGTGCCCCCAGCCTGTGACCCAGATGGCCTTGCCAGGAGGGAAGACATGAGTGGTGTCAGGCAGGCAGATGGGCCGCACCACGGCACTGTACTCAGCCGGATTCTTCAGCTCCAGCAGGGCGATGTCATAGTCAAAGGTGAAGTCATTGAAGGAGGGATGTGGGATGATGCGTTTGAGCTCATGCTCCTGCACCCCAGTGGCCGTGCGCTGGCCCTGGTCCAGCAGACCCAGGAAGGCTGTCCACTTGGTGGGGTCTGAGTACCTGGGAAGGAGAGGAGGGGCAAAGCTGGCTGAGGACCCGAGGGGAGCAGTGTCACCCCATCACATGCTCCTCGCTACTGCCACCCAGCACCCACAGAGGCCTCAAAGCAAGGGTCCGCCTGCCATGGGGTGGAGCCTGGAAAACCGTGAGCCAAGACAACCCTCTTCTCTTTATAAACTATCTCAGGGACTTGTCAGCCCAACGTGCTCAGCCTCTGGCTCTTTAGGTCTGCACAACTCCAGCAACAGAGACCAGGTGGGAAGATGCAGCCACTGAGATCCCCACGGTGACCACTGGGTGTTGGCAGGCAGCTGGTGACCTCGGACAGGTAGAGCTGACAAAGACACACTCCCCTCAGGGGTGACACAGGGATCACTGTCCTCCAAAGAGCCCCACCAGGTTGGCCAGCCCATTCCAAAATGAGGGCTTGGGTACAGAGAGATGAAGTCATTTGCCCAAGATCACACAGCCTATATGTGTTGGGCACCATTTGAATTTAGGCAACCTGTGCTCTTAACCACATGTGACAGCACCTCTTTAGGCACCTCATGAGCACTTGACTCAGAAATGTGCAAGGGTTACACAAAAATTCTCCACTTTGCAATTTGTCTGAGTTCTGAAATTAAGGTATTTTTAAAACTTCTTAGGGAAGCTCCCATCAGCCTCAAAAGAAAGGAAAATCATTCCTGCCCAGGTGGCACTGAGTGTGACCAGTGAGAAAGGAGAATGCTCTTGGGCTGGAGGAGAGTTCATGGAAAGCCTGGGGACAGGCGAGTGGCTCTGTGCCCACCACCCACAGCACGAGCACCTGTCTGACCTCCCAACATGAGCCTCCCGCCTCCTTCCTGCTGTGAGCCGGTCTTTGCCTTCTACCAAAGGTCACCTGCCCCTGAGCTGCCTACCTCACAAAAGCCTACAGCTGGCAGGAAGGCACAATGTTCCGGTGGGGTCTCAGAGAAGCCGCATCCCCCCTGCCTGCCTATTCCCAGCAGCTGCTGCCTCAGCCAGTGGCCAGAGAGCCTGGTAGTCCAGGAGTAAGGCACAAAGCGTCCCAGCCCCACACCCAGCCACTTGTTCCTACCACTCCTCTGGCCTCTCAAACTTTGGTGCCTGCTCACCTCTTCTGGGACACCAGCATGACCAGGCCTACGCCTACTGTATGTCAGGCACAGCACTAGGTGCTCCGAGTTTGTTATCAGATTTAGTTATCAGCATCACATCGCCAGGGAGGAGCCCAACACCTGGGAGTCCAAATAACTTCCCTAAGATCACCTGCATTCTGCAAACTGGAGCTGGAGCCCAGATCCAAAACTCCTAAGGAGCCACGAAGTGCAGGGACCAACCAAACAGGCTTTGGAACTGTCACACCTGGGCGTAGGTCTGGCCCTGCCACTCAGCTGTGCCAACCCCAAGCTAAAGTCCTCACCTCCCGAGTCTGCGACCGTGTGGTTACAAACAGACCTGCCTAGATTGTTAGTGCCGCAGGCAGTGAGCACCTAATAAAAGGGAGTTTTTATTGGTACTGTTATTAAGCCCCATTCTGGAATAGTTGCTACCCCTCCACGGCCCAGGTGCCAGCCCACCCTGGCATCACCCCGACACCTACTTGAAACTGGTTTCATCCACAAAGCAGTGTGCCGCTGAGACCAGCCAGTTGGGAGAGATGAGTGAGGCCCCACACACGTGGCCGTGGCCCAGGGCATGGAGGCTCACCTGCCAGGGCCACTCGCCTTTCTCCGCGTCTGTGCCCCCAACCACCCGAGCCCGTTTGGTGAATGATGCCAGCCCACAGTCTGGAGAGGAGACAGAGAACCCAAGGTCAGGCAAGTCAAGGTGGGGCTGCTCAGTGCCCAGGAGAAGCACTCGCCACAGTAGGACTCCACGTGCAGGAGCACTGATGTCAGACACAGCAGTGCTGGAGCAGGGTGGCACAAGGGACCCTCTGGAAGCTCCACAGGTGCCCTGACTTCCACCTCACCCCTCCCTCCACTGGTCCCAAGTTCCCAAGTTCAAAGCCTCCCCCACCCACCCCGCTCCGCTGTGCTGTAGCCTCCAGCTGAGCCTGCTTTGCTCAGACTTGATGTGGCTGTCACTTGCCCAGATCTCCCATTTGAACCATGGATGAGAGGCATAGCTCCCAGGGGGAAAAGCAGGCATTGCCATGAGGGCATGGACCAGCTGCAGCTATGTCCACATTTACCCAAGGCAGAGCTTCTGGGACACACACAGGCTGCAGGTTAAAGTGTGGTGGGTGGGCAACACCCCAGTGCAGGCTTGGGTAAGTGGGGCTCTCTGCCTCTCTCTGCCTCTCTCCGCAGGCCACTCCCCCGTGGCCGTGTCTACGAGCAGGGCAGACCAGCACCTTGGCCAATGAACCAGCTGTGCCACTAAGGTCTGGCTGCCTGGGTCTTTGTTATGGTTTAGATCTAGAGGCCCACAAAGGCCTCACGTGCTCAGAGGTGGGGGTTTTGGATGGTAATGGGATCCTGATGGCTCATAACTGACTTGCTGTGGAGGCGGGGTCTGGACGGAAGAGGCAGTCACTGGGCCGAGACCTGGAGGGAGTTGTCTCCCTCCCCAGCTCCTCTCATCTCTCTGCTTCTGGGTCTCCATAACCTGAGCAGGTTCTCCTCCACTCTGCCCCTCTTGCGTGCCATTTTCTGCCTTGGAGCCACCCAGGGACTACAGACCATGAGTCCAAAAGACCTCTCCTCCTTGAAGCTGTAGGTGTTGAGTACTGTGTCACAGTGATGAGAAAGTAGCCTAGACAGCCTTTCTCCAGGACAGAGCTGGCCCATGGAGTGAGCGATCTCTGCCCATTTGGCCAAGTCATCCTTTCCTGCGGCAGATGGACCCTTTCGCTCCACAGAGCCAGGTGAGTAAGGTGTGTCGGATTTCTACCTCTGGACGCACTCAGGTAAGTGCCCTGCACACCGAGTAACCCCCAAGCACATCGCGGCCCGCTCACCACAGTCCTTCTCATCTGAGCCGTCGCTGCAGTCTTTCTTCCCGTCACACTCAGGGTTGCCCTTGTTCACACACAGCCCGTTGAGGCAGTGGTAGGTGTGGTCAGTGCAAGTGACAACACTCACTGTTCAGGAAGGAGGGCGGGAGGAGGAATCAGCTGCTCTGCAGCGTGAGACCGGAAGCCAGAGGCAACACAGGAAGCCTGTCATGACCCACCCGGTCCCACCCTTCACCCAGGCCTGCTGTCCTTTCAGCTGGGCAACAGGCTCGCCACCTTCCAAAGCTTCCTCCCCACAGCCGCTTCTTCTCAACACACTTCACAGGCGTGCTGACGGACCTCTGGGCAAGCTGCACATGAGTGTGCTCAAGTGGGTGAGCCCCTGTGCCCCATGGGGGGCAGGCAGGGCCGGGCCTCACCAGTCTCACACGAAGCCTCATCAGAGCCGTCCCCACAGTTGTCCGTCCCGTCGCACTGCTGGTTCTTGGGGAGGCACTTCCCGCTGGAGCACTTGAAGGTCCCCTCGGGACACTCTGGGAAGGCGCACGTCTTTACTCGCAGCCGGCCCGCCTGGGCCACCCACCCCCACCCCGCTGTGCCCCACCACACCCCACTCACTGCACGCCAGCTCATCGCTGTTGTCCCCGCAGTCATTCACACCATCACAGAGCCAGAACAGGGGTTTGCACAACTTGTTCTTGCACGTGAACTGGTGGCTGGAGTTACAACCTGGGACAGTAGGGTGAGGGCAAGCATCAGCCCCAGGCAAGACTGGGGAAGTTGGGGTCACCACCAGGACTGTTTCCATCCTGGGCCCACCAGGAGGGCACCCACCCCACTAGCTACTAAGGCCTCCAGAGGAGCCAAGATTCCCAAGGAGGGCATGGGGGCCCAGGCACCAGGCGGCCCTGCACAGCGTGGAGGGCAAGACACTCACTGCAGTTGTGCTCGTCGCTGTGGTCCGTGCAGTCCGTCCAGCCATCGCAGCGCAGGTCCCTCCGGATACAGCGGCCTGTGCCGCACGTGAACATCCCGGGGCAGGCTGCAAGACGGGCAGCCTGAGTTCAGGGCTCTACTCCCCCAGCCTCCCCACCACACTGCAGATGTCAGAGCCAGGCTTGAGGCTCAGGCAGAGCAGCTCCCACACCAGCCCTCTGGCCAGCGACACCTGTGCCCCCAGCTCCAGGGCCAGTGGAAAGGGCTACATCAGAGCCCCTCTGCCCTGTGTCCTCACCTTTGGGGGCCAGTCACCTGGCCTATGACACAGGACAGCAGCAGGGCAGGTCTGTAATGCACATGTCCCAACCAAGTGCAAAATGGCACCATGCGCTTCCTTCAGGCCCACATAATTCCCACATGTCAGTGTTTCTGAAACTGGAAGCATCTGCCAACCATGGGCAGTGGGCCCAGGGCTACTGTCACACATGCACCTTAGTCAGAAGCATGATTTTAGATCAAAGGTGTCTGCTCTTCCAGTCACCCTTTCAGTCACCCATACAGGTGAATTTTAACTTAAATGTGGATTCCTAAGCAGAGTTAAAATGTCTTCTAAAAGGTCATTCATTCTGTGAGGTAGAGTTGAAATGTAAAAAATTACAGGTTGAGCATATTTCATCCAAAAAATCCAAAATCCTGAATGATTTTCCAAAATCTGAAATTTTTGAGCATCTGATATGATGCCACAGTGGAAAGTCCCACTGACTAGAGGTGATGAATTACACTCAAACAGGTGCACTAAAAATAGTGTTGCCTCAGGCCATGTGCACAAGGTACACAGGAAATGGAAATGAATTCCATGTTTAGATGTGGGTCTCCTCCCCAGGATAGCTGTGTATACACAAAGATTCCAAAATCCAAAGATATCTGAAATATGAAACACTTCTGGTCCCAAGCACTTCAGATAAAGAATCCTCAAACTGTACTGTATACATGAGCAAATTGCACACAGCCAACAGTATTATATAATGTTCCAAGCCTATACTACTAAAACTAACGGTGCTGAAAAGCCACAAGGACAAGAATGAATATTAAAGTCACAGTGACGCTGAACCAAAGGGACAGATGGCTGCAGGAACTCGGGGCAGGACAGTCCTTCACAACATCCTCCCTCCGGGATGCACCCCTGACAGTCATGGTGTGTACCAGCACTCGCCGTCAGCCTTTTTGTTTTATTTTATTTTATTTTATTTTAGCATACTAGGGATTGAACCCAAGGTCTTCACATTGAACTACATCCCCAGCCCTTTTTTGTTTTTTGTACTGGGGATCGAATTCATGACCTTGTGCTTACAGGGCAGGCGCAGTGCCACTGAGCTAAATCCCCAGCCCTTCCCAGACCTTTTTAAATTTTTTATTTTGTCTCACTAAATTTCCCAGGTGGGATCAAGCTTTCAATATTCCTGCCTCCGCCTCCCAGAGTGCTAGATTACAGACACACACCACTAGGTCCAGATACTGTTAGGTTTTGGGTTTGTTCTTTATTTTGAAACAGGGTCTCACTATGTTGCCCAGGCTGGCCTTGAACTTCTGCCTCAGGCTCCCAAGTGCTGGGAGTACAAGCATGCACCACCATACTGCCATCACACCCAGCACTGTCAGCTTTTTAAAATAAACTCAAGAAAGACAACGGTTTTTTCCTCAAAAAGGTGCTAGAGTGACACACATTTACACTCTCATACCTGACAACCTAGAAGGCACACTGCTAAGACACAAAACGGCCCCTCTCACCCCTCCAGCCATGGGCACTCACGGTCCCTGGAGTCATAGGAGAGGTACTCAGCGAGGAACCCTGTGTCAGTGTAGGAATGGTCCGAGTGGAAGCGAACTGTGATCTTGCTGCTCCTGCTGATAACGACAAAGGGGGGCCTCTCTCCACAGTACCTGGGGGAGACCACAAGTGTGAAGGAGCCGCTAGAAGCTTGGGCCTGGGGTACAGGGGACCTGGTCCTCCCAACCTCCAGCCCATGGTGGTGGCTCCACCCCCAGGGCTCACTTCTCCCCGTTGATCTCCACGTAGTCCTTGGAGCAGGTGCCCAGCCCCACATTGGGCTCCAGCAGGAAGAAGTAATTGAAGCGCAATTTCACGTTCCGGTTATTGGGCACCTGGACAGAGGGTGGGACAGCATGGAGCAGGACACACTGCAGTAGCCCCCAACCTATGGGGTACATTCCAGGGATCCTGATGACTCGGACAGCACTGAACCCTGTATGTTCTATGGATATGTACCTATGATAAAGGTTTCTTTTGGGGTTTTAACTTATTTTTTAGTTCAGGGGTCCTCAACCCTGGGTATGGCCCAGTACTGGCTGGTGGCCTGTTGGCAATCAGGTCACACCATGGGAAGTGAGCATCAGGCAAGCAAGATAAGCGTCACTGTATTTACAATCACCCCCATCGCTGAGCTCTGCCTCTGTCAGCTCCACAGCGGGATTAGATTCTTGGAGGACCTTGAACTCTACTGTGAACTGCACATTCGAGGAATTGAAGTTGTGGGCTCCTCACGAGAATCTAATGCCTGATGATCTGAAGGGGAGCTGAGTGGTGATGCAAGTGCTGGGGGATGTAATTATTATGTATCACAAAGATAACTGATAAAAAAAGAAACGAGGGCCGGGGATTTAGCTCAGTGGTTCCGACGCCTGCCTCACAAGTGCAAGGTCCCGAGTTTGATCCCCGGTACCAAAAAAAAAAAAGAAAGAAACTAAACCCCACCCCCGTTCCTGGAAAACTTGTCATCCATGACACTGGTCCCTGTTTACCTAAAGGAAGCACTTCTGGCTCCTCTTTGGCCTGTCCTAATAGCCAGCATCAGGCCTCCTGAGCTTGGCACCTTTACTAAGGAAAACAAAGGCTCCCTGAACACAAGTGTCACACAGTGCAGACGCATGCGATGAGGGGATGACTCCATCCCAGGCAGAATCCAGCAGGACAGCACGAGATGTCACACTCCTCAGAACAATGCACAGCCTAACACTTGTGAATTGTTTATTTCTGGAATTTCCCATTTAATGTTTTGGGGCTGTGGTTGACGGCAGCTAAATAAAGCCATGGAAAATGGAACTATGAATAAGAGGGACACTGGTTTGGATGAGAAGAGACAGATCGCTAGGATGGCACCATGGGGACCGACAGGCACTTGTCTCGCTCCCGTCTCACAGATGCTTCCTTGGGATTCACACTCACCCTCTGCCACCATCCTGACAGCACCTCAGTCAGACACCCTCACCTCACCATGCCAGGAGAGGCTGAGGCAGAGTTAAGTAACCGGCCGAGGCCCCTCGGTCAGTCACCCATCGGGGGATCACACAGGTGGTGGCTTTGGGGTTGATAAAAGAGTGCGTCTTCCCTCTCCCCACCCTTCCTCGCCTTCTGTGCTGGGGCACCCGCCTCTCCTCCTCTCACACACACCCTACCTGGATGTCCCACGTGCAGTTGATGTTGGGCGGGTAGTGACCAGGGTAGTAGGGGGTGCTGAATGTCCCCTGGGCTTCACGCAAGGTGCCCCCACAGCCTGTGAGAAAGGCAGGAGAAGGGGTGAGGACCAAGGTCAGGTGAGCCGGCCGGGCGGGCGGGGCCTCTCTGCTGAGGCCTCCTGCTGCCCCTGGGCACCTGGACACTCGGAAGCTCAGAGCAGAGGACACACTGGCTCACACTTCAAGCTCTGTCACTGAACAGGGCCAGCCGGCCTGCTGCAGGGTGAGCCTACGGCCTCCCGGGCTCTGGTCAGCGCTGGGGCCTGTTCCTTCTCCACAGCCATGAGCACTGCCCGCCCCGCCCAGGCCTTCCTTACTGCTCATCTTGGGCAGCTGGAAGAAGGAGGCGTCAAAGCCAGGATGCCGCCGCTCTGTGTTGGTGACCAGCGTGACCAGCAGGACGTTCTGGGAGGAGAGGAAGGTCAGGTTGTAGGAAGGAGGGTAGGCACCACACAGCCTGCGGGCAGAGGGACGGGTAGTTAGCAAGACACACTCGGCCCGCACATCCCCACTCGCTCAGGACCCAGAAGGTGCTCTGCTCACCCTGGGCCTGCACGCTAAGGCCGAGGGCGGGGCCCCAGAACCCCAGGTCAGGACCCCACCACCCCCAACAGTCAAGGCTGGGGACCCCGGCTGAAGCCTGGGCGTCTGTATGTGAAGTAGCAAAGCCTTAGGGACAAAGGCCTAACAGGACCCATGAAGTAAATTCCAGGTTGAACAACAATATGAACAGCAGTAACAACTAACACTTTAGAACGTATAGGCATAGTTCTTGTCGATTTTTTCTTTTCGTTTTTAGTTTTGTTTTTTTTTCTTTTTTGTGGATCAAAGGAGGGCCTCAAACATGCTAGGCTAGTGTTTTACAACTAAGCTAACCCACAGCCTCTTAGGCTTTTATATCTGTTAATTCCTAATCTTTGTAACAATTCTACAAAGTAGATACTATTGTCTCCATTCCACAGATAAGGATATGGAGCAAAAAGAAGTTCAGTAACTTGCCCCACCTTCCGCAATTAGCACCTTAGCACCGGGTGTGGTGGCCCATCCCTGTAATCCCAGCACTCCGGAGGCTGAGGTAGGAGGATCGCCTTGAGTTCTAGGCCAGCCTGAACTACATAGTGAGACCCTGCCTCAAAACACAACACAACTAGTAAATGGCAGGACTAGAATCAAACTCAGTCATTTAGGCTCTAGAGCCCGCACCTAATGACAGAGTCAACTGCTAACAAACAATGCGGTGTTACAACCATTACAAATGAGGCTGATTAGGTCTTTTTTTTCTTTCTTCCAGTACCAGGGATCGAACACTCAGGACCTTGTGCTTCCAAGGGAGGCATGGTGCCACTAAGCTAAATCCCCAGCCCTGAGGCTGATTTGGAGAAGCCAAGTATATATAATCCTATTTCTAAAGACACATATAAATACATAGCAAAAAAATCTGAAGAATATATATTAGAAATGTAACAGCAGTTGCCGGTTGTGGTGGTATACACCTGTAAATCCCAGCACTCTGGGAGACTGAGACAGGAAGATCGACAGTTTGAACTCAACCTGAGCAATAGAGTGACTAAAAATTTTGTAAAAGGCTGGAATCAAGGCCCTGGATTCAATCTGCAGTAACACACACACATACACACACATGCACAAGCACACACAATTAACAGTGGTATTTCCTAGACAGTAAGGTAATGAGTGACTTTAACCCTCCTTCCAAGTGACGATTGGTACTTCTTTCCTTTGGATCTGTGGGCTTCTTTGTTGTGTGACAGTAAATTAAAGAGATGGGAAAGATACTCAGTCAGAAGTTCTGGCTGCTAAGCTGTGACAAAAGATGATTTGGTCTTGGTTTGGGACTGAATCAAGAAACCCCTACTGCCCCACTCCACGAAGCACCAAAAGGCTCCAGCCTCAATGCAGCAGGAAGAGCCAGCTGGGCCCCCGAGCCTGGTGGCTGAGGAGCGCGCTCCACATCTCAGGGCTGGCCCGAAGCAGCTGCACTGACTGTGCCCTTTTATCTTCTGTAATTCTGATGCTCTGACTCTGGGCCTTGCTCACCCTGGAGACTGCCTTCCGGGGCTGCTGATCCCTAGAAACAGTGACAGACTCACCAGCAGGTGCACCTGTCCTATGCCAACCAGCCCATTCAGCCCATTCAGACCCAGCCCTCAGTGCTCTCGGGCCCTGATCAACCCGGGCCAGGTACCAGACATTACAACAGCCCAAGTGCCAAGCCCACTGCGACACTTCAGACTCTGAGCCCCAGCCTGCTCAGCCTGTGCTGTCTTCCGTCCCAAGTAAACCACAATAAATGTTCTCACCACAGTCCCTTCTGGCTCTCTGCTTCTTCCCCACTTTGAGGCCCTGCATGCTGTGCCCTGCAGCACCTCTTCTCTTGGGAGCTTTTACGTCTTTCTTTTTCATTTTTTTCTCCAGTACTGGTGATTGAACCCAGGGCTCCATCTCCAGCACTGTTTTCATTTTCCAAATTGCCAGGCTGATCCTGAACTGGCAACCGTCCTGCCTCAGTCCCCAAGGGACTGGTATTATAGGTGTGTGCCACCACACCTAGTGACAGCTATTTTCAATGGTAATCACCTCCAGATGTGCAGGCCTCACTCTACTTGATTATTAACAAGGCCTGCTTTTCACACAGCAGCCGCCCCTCCACTTGCTCAGCAGTTATAGAAGTCCATCCTACTCTGGCTAGACTTGGCGTCTCCAGGCCAGAGAAGCTAAGGCATTGGCTCTGAGACCCACTGGACCCACACCGGTCCCCCACACCTGGCAGTTTCATCATGGCCAGTGGCCAAAGGCCATAAGGAAGTCCAGCGCACAGCACACTTGGCCCAGAGCTAGACCTGCAGGGGAACTGCCCCACCCCACCACTGCTCCAGGCCACTCACCAAATCACAGTGTGGGGCTCCACAGGGCTCAGACTGTTGTACACCGTGACCAGGTCACTGCCCCACTCATCACAGGGGGCGACATTAAAGCTGCGGAAGGTGAGGCTCAGCACCGAGTCTGCATCGCCCCGAAGGGTCCACTGGCAGCGGGCACGCACTGGGTAGGGGCTGTCGGGGAAGCCAGGCGTGGTGAAGCGCGTCACCTCCCCGCCCCGGGCATGCAGGGCAAAACTGCAGCTGTCTGCAAAGGAGACAAGAGCGGCATGGGTGGAGCTGGGTGAGCACCCCAAAGCCCAGTGGGGTACACCCCAGACCTGCCCACCCCAGACATCCCAGGCTGTGCCAGACCTGGGGGGCGGGCAGGGAACTTCTCTAAGGGGACTAGAAGTAAGGAAGGGATGTGCTGCCATCACCACCATTGGACTTTTGGGGATGCCTGGCTGAAGGGAGCCATATCTCTCCTCTCCTCCCCTGGTGGGGCGGGGCACAGGATACTTACTGTCCTGGGTCCTCTGTAATATTCTGGGGTCAGCGGCTGAGGAACAAGAAGGTGAATACTTACTCTTATGATCGATGTCCCTATTCCCGCTCCCTGAGGAAGGCTCCGGCCAGCCAGCACAGTTCTCCCTATGCACGGCCCAGGACCATGTCCCTAGCTCCCCTCTCTGCAGGCCGGTCCTCACGCCCACCCCTGCCTGCCCAACTCACGGAAGGCCACCACCGAGGTCACCATGAAGGAGCTAAGTGCCCGGCCTCGGGGCGGCAGCGTGATTACTCGCTTCTCTGCCATGGCCCGCTCCGCCTCCACCTCCAGGTACTTGGGGATGCTGAATTCTGACCAGTAGTAGGCGATGACACTGCCCTCACTGGGGAGACAAGGGCAAGCCTGATGCAAGGGGTGGGGGTTTGAGGACCCACATTCTCCTGGGCCATCCCGGGTCCCAAGCTCTCTGCACCCACTCCCTTTATGATACCCAGGCAAGAAATCTTACCCCTCACCTCCTGCTCTCCATGTCTCACCCTCAACCATACATATTCCCAGCCAGCTCAAGATGAGCAATCGAGGGAAAAGAATCTGGCGGGACTCTGACCGCTAACACTGTTACATAGTAACCCCCTTCCTAGGACTGTTTTCTGATCTAGGGAGAAGAGATTGCTGCCATCCAGCATTCCTGAGGATTCAACTGAACAAGCAAAATAAAAAGTACTGTGGGGACCAGGCATGGTGGCATGTGCCTGCAGTCTCAGCGATTCAGGAGGCTGGACAAATGGGAACACCCATCCCCCTTCCAGAAAAGGCTAGGAGTGGTGGGACAGGTCTGTAATCCCAGCACTTGGGAGACTGAAGCATGAAGATCACCACAAGTTGGAGGCCAGCATGGGTGATATAGTGAGATGTCTCAAAAAAAAAGAGAGAGAAAGACTGGGCATGAGGTCAGTGGTAGAGCACTTGTCTACATGTGCAAAGCCTTGGGTGTGATATCCAGAACCACTGAAAAAAGTTACTTTGAGAACAAAGTTTATTTACTGGGGGGGGGGGGCGGGGGGCGGGGGAAAAAACCAGCCCCCCTTTTTTTCGGGGGGGGGGGGGGGGTGCCAGGGATCAAACTCAGGACCTTGCATTTTCGAGGGAGGCAGCGGCACCACTGAGCGAAATCCCTGGCCCAAAAGTTTATTTTTTTAAAGCGTATGTTTACATGAAGCCCTCATAGGCTCCCCAACTCCCTCAAACCCAGATTTGGAAAAATAATCACTATACTTCCTGAATGCAGCGCATGGGGCAGGCACTATGCAAAGCATTCCACAGGCCTTGGTTCACCTAGTCCTAACCACACTGCTCAGGGACAGAAGAACCAAGCAGCTGAGTCCTGAGTCACTAGTGCCAAGGACAGAACGGGACACGCACTTCAGCCTCATTACCCGGGTCACAAGGCAGGCGTTTGGTCCCATACAGACACCACACAGATCCCACTCCCAGCAGGCCAGGGACCAGCCCACCTGGAAGTCCCCCAGCACCCACCTGAAGGCAGTCACAGTGGACTTCCTGTAGTAGGGGCCCAGGACAGAGACCTCGCTGTATAACAACTTCAGCTGAGGGTAGGGGACAAGACTCATGACAGGGTAAAGCACACCAATGGCCCCTTCCCCCAGCCCCGACTGCTCCTCCCTTCCTGGGACCGTGGTCCCCTCCAGCTCACCCCCCAGGCTTAATGGGACTGGGGGTGCCAGGGCTCAGGGCTCCCAGTGCAGAGAATGAACTCACCGCTTCCTTCACCTTCTTGGCCAGGTTTATAAACTCGGTGGAGTTCGAGTTCTCATAGGCGTCCAGGAAGTTCTCGTTTGTGACCCTCAGGTAGCCATTGAAGACCTTCAGCACCTGCACGTTCTGGTCTGTGCCAGGCCAGGAGAGCAGTCGGGGGTGGCAGCTCCCAGGGAGACAGTGCCCCTCCTCCCACGCCACCCTCATCCTCTACAGGCGTCCTAGGGTTGCCCACTGCAGGGCAGCCACTCGCCTGCTGTACTCACACTGGAAGTGCCACACCAGCAGGCCCACCATGAGCGAGAGCAAGAGGAAGCCGAGCAGCAGGGCCGCCAGCACCACCCAGCGCCGGGGGCCGCGCTTCTCCACCTGCTTGGCGTTGTTCACAGGCAGGAACTCCACGCTTTCCTCAAAGCCTTTCATGTTCTGCATGGAGAGAGGCACCCGGACTCAGAATCTCGACCATGGCCTCCTGGCTCCACACAGGAGAATGCTGGCATTTTGCTGTGGAGGAAGACCGGCTAGGCAGAGGCAGAAGCTGCCTCCCGGAGGCCACTGTTCACCACAGCACCTGCTCCAAGACATGAACCCCTGCAAGGAAGGTGAGGGCGCCTTCCAGCCACATGTCTCAGCGCCCAGGCAGGCACAAATCGCTCAAGAACTATTTGTTTAAATTGAAATGAAAGCCAGCCATGGTGGTGCATGCCTTTAAGTCCAGAACTTGGGAGGCTGAGGCAGAAGGATTGCTGCAAGTTTGAGGCCAGCCTGGCCTACCTAGTGAGATCCTGTCTCGAAAAAGCCAACCAACCAACCAAACAAACAAATAAATAGGGCGGGGGATTTAGCTCAGTGGTTTGGCGGCCTGCTGCACAAGCACTAGGACCCAAGTTCGATCCCCGGTACCACAAAAAGAAAAGATTAACTAAGCAACAGCCTCAACCCAAGTCACAGGGCACCACTCTTCCAGTTTCCTAAAGCGACCCTGATGGTCACTTCACAACCACCTCATACGCTTGTGATGTTTCCTGACCTGCCACATTCTCACACTGTCTGCTAAGTCCCTGCTAGGAGAGAGTCTCCCCTCTCCTGCCATACTGAGGTATTTCTCTACCTTTATCTTCCTGGTTATGTTTATGCCTTCTCCTAATATCACACATGGAAGATGCCACAGGCAGCCATTTAAAATGCATTCCAGCTGCCCGTTCTGCATTTGTTTCTGTATTTCTAAATAAAATGGCAACCCAAGCATGGAGGTGTACACCTGTAAACCCAGCAGCCTGGGAAGCTTAGGCAGGAGAAGAGGACCACAACTTGAGTCCAGCCTAGGCAGTTTAGCAACTTAGCAAGACCCTGTCACAAAATAAAAATAGAAAGAGCTGTGGATGTAGCTCAGTGTGAGGGCACTGAGTTCAATTCCCAATACTGTAATAATAATAATAACTTAAAATTTTTTTTAAAATTTAATGGACTGGGGATGAGCTCAGTGCAAAGGCTTTGGGCCCAACCTCCAGTACCACCAAAAAGAAAAAGGGCATCTAAAACTTGGGGTTGGGAGTATAGCTCAGTGTTAGAGTGCTTGCCTGGCATGCCTAAGGCCCTTGGTCCAATTCCCAGGACTGAGAAAAAGAAAATCAAAATCAGTGCCAATGCCCTATGTCTTGATTTATCTATTTAAAATATCAACATTATCTTGCTAGCATGGGTTTTAAAGTACTACTTTCCTTTTCTCTCCCCCATCCTCTCAAACGTTGTAGGATTAAAGTTTTAAAAATATCTATACTGTGTTTTTCATTATTAGGTTGTGACAATATTGTTCACTATTATGTTTCCTTTCCTATACAATTTATTTTTCTTGCTGCCAATTTTCATTTACTTGGATTTCTTTTTAACATACACCCAAGTCTTAAACATAATCTAAGGGCTCGGTACTACTCTCCTCAATCTTCTACACATGAAGACTCCCAAATAACTTAATTCCTTTTCTCCCTGGGGACCATCCTCTTCAAGCCCTTCATCCTTTCACATAGTGGTTCTTTGGAACCTCTGTCACCATCATCGGGGGGACCCCCTCATCTCCATCCTATGTCTAAGCCCGATTTCCTAGAATTCCATCTCTTCAGTTCTCATGGTTCATTTCATTTTGGTAAAAACATATTTTAGCAGCCTCCTAAGAAGGAAAATTTTTAAATATTTTGCATGTTTCTGAAAATATCTTAATTCTACATGCACATTTTTGACAGTTTGGCTGGGTACAGAACTATAGGTTTGAAACAATTTTCACTTAGAATTTGTAAGCCACCATTGTTTGCTTCTAATTTTGCTTTTGAGAAATACTATAAGTCCATTTAGTTCTTACCTAATAGCTTTGGTACTTTTCTCTGAAAGGCTTGAGGATGAGCTTTGAATTACATCTTTAAATGTCATTATGCTGAACTATCCATGTGGCCTCTGAATTTGGAAATTTTTATCTTTCAATCTGGAAAAATTATCTTTTTTTTTTTCTTAAATTCTTTTATTGGTACATTTTAGGTATACAACCATTTACATTTCTCATTGGGAACTTGTACCTTCACATGATGCAATTTGGTTCTTATTTTTTCCCCATTCCTAGCCCTCCCTTCACCCCCTCCACCCTTCCCTATTTACAAAGACTTTATTTCCATTTTTTCCATTTCTCATCATTTTGGAAAAATTATCTTACTTCTTAGATAAAGTCCTCCCTTTCATTTTCTTGGTCTACTTTTCTCCAGTTCTTATTTCACTGATCCTTTATCCTTTCTTTGCATTAGTTATATCATTACCTTTAATCTTTTTAGTAATGGTTTTCATTTTTGCTATCAAATTTTTAATATCCAAGAATTTTCTTGTTCTCTTAATTTTCCTCTTCTATGGCACCTAGCATTTGTTTCATGGATGCAAAATCTTTTCATCTTTGTATTTCTGCTAGCTACCTTTCTCTTCTTTAGTTGTTCATTCATATTTAGGAATGAGGTCCTAAAGGTTGTTTGGAAGCTTGTATGGGCAAGACACAAGAACATGGCTAGGCAGATTATTTTTTTAATGAATATTTCCAATAGTTAGGCTATGTAGATCTTTCTATAGGATAGTTCAATTGCTCCAGAGAGAGTACGATTTTCTGATCTCCTATCTGGGGAGTCACTAGCATTTAGGAACAAGTAGGAAAATAAACTCATTCCCCTTCTTTCCATTCCTTACTACAGCCTTCCTCAGACCTGCTGTCCTGGAGTCCAGATATCCTCTGCTCAGTTTCTCCTGACTAGTCTTCCCTCCACTATGGGGGTCTCCAGGAGTAGTTGTCTTTTCCTTGGGTGGAGGTGGAGACCTGAGGATTTCTAACCATGTATTTCCTTGTCTTTATCTTCAGCAACACTTGCGCCCATGGGCTGGCAGTGTGGCTCAGCAGCAGAGTGCTTGCAGAGCTTTCACAAAGCCTGGGTTTGATCCCCAGGACCCCCAAAATAAATAATAAATAAAACCTAAGTCCAATTCCTGAGCCTGGCAAAGAAAAGGACATTACAAAAAAAACAGCAAAAGGATACTTGAAATATCTAAAGAAACACATAAGTCTTCATGTTCAAAAGGCTCACTGAATGGTGAGAAAGAAAAATGAAAAAGCATAAATACCTAAATATATCATGAAAAATTCCAGAACACCAGCAATAAAGAATGGGTCCTTCACAATTCTCAGTTTTCTCTCCATTTTTTTTTTTTGGTACTGGAGATCAAACTCGGGTCCTTGCGCTTGTGAGGCAGGCGCTGGAACCACTGAGCTAAATCCACAGCCCCTCTCTCCCATTTTTTTTGAGACAGGGTCTCACTATATAGTTCAGGCTGGCCTTGAACTCACTATGTAGCAAAGGCTGGCCTCAACTCAAAGTGATCCTCCAGGACCAGGGATGTAGCTCAGTGGTGCAGCACCTGCTTGATAAGCACGAGACCCTGAGTTTGATTCCTGGTACCAAAAAAAAAGGGTTCCTCCTGCCTCAACCTCCCAAGTGCTCAGATTACAGGCATGCATCATTACACCCAGCAGTCTCCCGTAATTTATATTTCCTCATCATTTACTTCTCACTGTTTTTTGGGGGGGGTGGTTTGGTGCCAGGGATCGAACTTGGGACCTTGCGCTTTCGAGGCAGGCACCGAAACCACTGAGCTAAATCCCCTGCCCATCATTTGGTTCTTTTCTCAGAATGTTTTCAAACTTGCTCTTGCAAATCTTTTGAGTTGTTAAAATGGGTTTGCTGAGATATAAATGACATAAAATAAGCTGTGCATATTTAAAATGTATAAGCTATACATATTTAAAATGAAACCACCATTGCCAATAAAGAAAATATCCATCACCTTCAAAAGCTTCCTCTGGCCCATCTCTCCCACACCCTCAACTCCCCAGGCTGCCATTTATCTACTTCTTGTCACCAAAGAATAGTTTGGTTTTTGCTAGTGCTTTATGCAAATTGAATTATATAGCCCTGAGGCAGTCCCAGGGTGATTTATAAGTTCTTCTTTGCATTATAAATAGAGTCCATGATGGAAAAAAAATTGAATTATATAGTATGTAGTGCTTGGGGGAGGGCTGGCTTCTTTTACTCTGCACAATTATTTTAAGATTCATGCAGATTATTACACTACATGCATGGAGAGTGCATCCCTGTCTACCACTGAGTAGTATCCTATTGTATTGATATACAAATTTAATTACCTAGCCACCTGTTATGAACATATGGGTCATTTAGGGCTTGTACAAATAAAGCTTCCATGTCTTTGCACTGGTATATGTGTTGATTTCTCTTGGGTAAATATATAGCAGTGGAACTGCAAGTTCCTATGATAGGTACGTTTACCTTTATAAAGAACTACTCAACTGTTTTACAAAACAGTTGCATCATTTTACATTCTCATCAACCTTGTATGAGAATTTCAGTTGTTCTGCATCCACCAAGTACTTGGTTTGGTCAGTCTTTTTCATTTTAGCCATTCCAGTAGATACACAAGCATTTCTCATTGTGTTTTTAAGAAGACTTTCTTTAATGACTAATGATGTTGATCTGTTTTCATGTATTCAACTGCCATCTGGTCGAGAGCTATTCTACATAATTTTTAGGGAAAAATCATTTCATAATTAAATTATGATTAGGACTGTCCAAGGCCCAATGTCTTCTTGGCCACGAGCTGACTATGACATACAGAAACGTAACTCCATTTTGCCTCCAGTCACAAGTTGAGGCCTCAATGGTTACCTGATGCTGTGACACTCAACAGCAGGATCACATCAGCTGAAGATATCCTGGTTCTTTGAGAACTGAGTAGTAATTTTTTAAAAAGAGAGAAAAGTTTCACCTGGGGGAAGGACAAATTCCTTATTTGTCTACTATCTCGTCCCACCTACTATTGTAAGAATGCTT